CTCATAAAGCCCCGCCCCTCCATGAGTGCATACAGGCGGTAATGGTTGCTGGTGTGGTTTTGTAAGTAAAGCCTCAAGCAGGACTCTCTACCAACCCTAAGGAAACTAAGTAACCAGGTAGGTAAGCAGATGAGAAGGGAGTAGGTGGGAAGAGAAAAGGCGTATATGGGAGAGTGGCTAGAACAAAGGCATTCTACAGAAGAATGAGCACCACGACGAAACCATTATCATGTACAATTAACCTACACTAATAAAAATAAGCTAAAAAGACTGACCCATGAAGAAATGAAAAGCTTTGATATTGCAAAATAAATTCCATGGTATATTTTGAGGTTTTCATTTCTAGAATGTTAAAGTTAAATCTACAAAGAAAACAAAAAATGTTGTGACTGTGAGGCTGTCCTGACAGCCATCTCCAAACCAACACCAAGCAGCTCTCACTTCCAGTGAGCTTTGAGTCCAGAGGCACACGGCAGGCACCGAGGTAACCGCCACACTGCAGTTAACCAATGTTCTCTGACAAACACCCTAACCTGACACTCTTATGCTAATTATTACTGCTTGTCCCTGTGGTCTAGACTTAGACCACTTGCTGCAGTTCAGAATGCTACTGCCTCTTGGGATCTAAAGATTCAGACCCACATTCATCTGGGAGTCTCTGATGCACATGGCAGTTCATTCAGTGTTTCCTATATGTCTCTTTAAAATAAAACCATATTCACAACACAGTACTGCTGGCAACAGATCTAATCATAAAAGTAACGTGTAAAATATGGTACTTGAAAAATAAAATATACAAGTTTGGGGAAACCCTTTCACCATTTTATAAATAAGTGAACATGAGGTGCATCCAGCAGGGTTTTCTTACAAACATCTGATCCCTGACTGGTATTTTCCCAGCCCTTAGTGCTTGATGACTAAGTAACCCCCAGAAGAGTGGTCCCCCACTGTCCGACAAGGACAAGCACACAAGCCATAAGGATCATGGCCACATCAACTAATTTTTGGTACAATTCTGAAATATTGGCACAGTTTTAAAATACCAGAATATACATGGTTTTTAAGACTTATCATTTTGTAAGAGGGGGAAATTACTTGCAGCAAATAACCAAATTTTCTCAATTGATAAAAATTATGCCTTGCATAAAAATAAAAGGATTAGAGGCCTCAGCTCGTTCTGGGCACCACCCGTCACCCTCTCTTTCTCTCACAGCCTGAACAATAACACAGAGAAAGCTTTCAGAGTGTGTGCCCACACAATAGACCCCCAACTATTCAAAATGAGTTTAGGTGTATCAAGAAAATTACACACGGTTTTAAAATGGTCTAAATAGATATTAAAGGAGAGTTGCTCCCATTTTGCGAGGCACAGCATTCTAAAAGATCACACGGTGAGAAAAGTCTCTCACCACATTGTAAACCAGAAACTGTGTTTGAAAATAAAATTGTTAATGAAGAAACTGACATTTCTAGAGCTGCCACTAAAGGCAGCCACTCTTGAAACACATTTATGACACAAAATCCTAAAGCTCCAAACCACAAAATTCATGGAATTTATTGTATTTCTCAAAATATTAAAAAACACAAAAACAGCAAGGTGCCCTCTCCATTAAGTGACTTAAGTTGATGACTATAAATGTATACATTTACATGACCATTGGCCTGTTTTTTTTCTTTCCCTAGAATCAACATTTACCAACTACCTCAGGCCATACTTCTCCCCTATGAATATTCTAATAGTAAAATAACTACCCTTGTACTTTGACAGAGAGTGGGGGTGGGGGAAGAGTGGCCTGCAATGAAAAAAAACAAACAATCATTTAAGCAAAATGTTGGGCATAGTGGTGTACCCCTTTAATTCCAATTTGGGGTGGGGGCGGGGGCACAGAGACAAGTGGATCTCTGAATTCAAGGCCAGCCATGGCTACTTAGAAAGCTACAGGCCTGCCAGACATACATAGCAAGACCATCTTAACAGGGTGTGTGTGCAGATGTGTTAACTAAGCAAAGTAATTCTGAGTTTGCATGAATACAGAAGAATCTGATTATTCTTAAGATGTTAAAGCAGCTAGGCATGGTTGCACATGTCTTTAATCAGGAGGCAGAAGCAAGTGGATCTCTGAATTCCAGGCCAGCCTGGTCTAAGGCTGCAACAGAGAAATCCTGTGTTCAAAAGCAAAACAAAAAGTTTTCAAGCAATCAAGCAGTTCTAAATAAGGAGTATCACCTAAGCTTAGTGATACTTTCTCATAAGAACTGCCAGTTACAGTTACTACATTCCTTTTTTTATTTATTTATTTCGGGTTTTTTGAGACAGAGTTTCTTTGTGTAACAGTCCAAGCTGTCCTAGAACAGCTCCTGTAGACCAGGCTATCCCCGAACTCACAGAGATCCACCTGCCTCTGCACCCCTTCCCCGCCCAAGTGTTGGGACTAAAGACCACCACTGCCTGGTGAACAGTTACTATATATTCTTACATCAAAACTGCCAGCATTGAAGTGCTCATAGTTAAATGGAGAATTTTAAGTCACACGCTCTCAAAGCGAAGATCCTCTGTGTTTATCGAGTAGCATTAAGGTCGCCAACAACCCACAAGCTAAGAGTGTCTGTCTGACTCAGGCACATCTGGGCCCACCTGGACAGACTCCTGGTCTGGCCTACTACAACATGAGACTTGCATCAACTGCAATGACAAGGCTGCTTTAAAGCTTGAGGGTGTGTTCAAAGGTAAGAACAGAACGTCTTCATCAGAGCTACTTAGTTCGTTCCCACTCACTGTCAGAGCTGCTGCAGCTCGCCTCTGGCTGAGACATGCTTCCATGTATTGCACCTTGGGACTCCTCACTTCCTAGTAACAAAATGAACAAGACAGGGAAGGAGGCAGTAAAAAACAAACAGTAGCAAATGGGAGATGGCAGCATTAGAAGGAAAGGAACTACTGCAGAGTTTTGGCCTCCAGAGTGAACTGACGCCCTCCTGACATCCCAGGGACTCTCTGGGTAAATGCAGATGAACTCAACCATGTTGGAGCCACAATATATAAGGACTAATTGCTAATAAAAATCAGGATAAAGGTGGCTGATTTTCAAAAGGTGATTTCCAGCATGTACCAGAGCCACTGTTAAAATACAGTGCTGGCCTAAGTCAGCAGGGCATTTATGCTATACTGACATTTTTGTCCAAAACATGGCTATTCATCAGAAATTAAGAAATGCCCCAGGACCAACAAATAAACAAAATGTTGAGAAAGAGGAAAGAAATCTTTAAAAAGCACTCAGTCCAGAACAGCACTGCAAGGGGACACCAACACACAGACAAATCGTCTTAGCTGGCCCGTGCAGAAGCTGCCTTTGCTGACACCATTTCTAACTGTGGTTTTACAGGCATTGCCTTCAGTGCTAGCCTCTAAAACTAGAAGTGACTTCAAATCTTTGCTTTTGCATCAACTCCCCTAAACAGGGAAGTTTCCAAACTTCCTAACTGGCGGGGTGTGCTGCAGGGAAGTGGGCTGTGGCACAAGCATGCTGCGAGGTATAGACTCACTGTAGGGAGCGGAAAGCTGTGGGCCTGACAGGCCGTTCTGGCCTCTACCTCCTAAGTCCCAGTCCCGACCTCTGTGAAGAGCAACTGACTAATGTGTATATATGAAAGACACTCCAATGCACACTGTGCAACACAAACCTATCCACAAGATAGTTTATCATCAAATGGAAATTCTATGACTCAAGTGGTTAGCCTGTCATGTGGGAGGAAGTACAACTTGGGGCTGTACAAGAAAGGACTAAGCAATGCTCCTCACTTACGAGTCTGTATGGCCTCTTCCACCTGTGTATCTGAGCACTCCATGTCTTCCACACTACACGCTGTGCTTTCTTCTACTTCTTTCTTCCGCTTCTTACATATGAAAGAAAGTTTAAAAGACAAGAGAGAGAGAGAGAGATGTAGTCTTCTGCCCACAAAAGCAAATATACATAAATTAGCATATCTAAGTGTAATAGTCTCAAAACAAACAGAAGAACCTAACAGAAGGATCTGGAACACAGGCCTCCCTCCAGCAGTCAGGGTGGAGAATCCTTTCTTCCACCACCTCTAACTTCCCACGCTTTAGTCTACCACTAAATCACACTTGATCTAGAAGAAATTCTTCCAGGACATGAAATGTTTAGCGATTTGTTGTTGCCTTCACAGGCCAGTGACACTCATACTTGTAACATGAGGGGGCCTGCTTGTTTGTGTTTCTGTCCTGTTCTGTTCCCCCAGCTGTTTAGTCCCAAAGTAGAATCACACAAGAGATCTCTATAAGTTATAATGCTGACTGGCCCGTTAGGTCAGGCTTCTTACTGGCTAACTCTCACATCTTGATTAACCCATTTTTCTGATCTATGTTAGCCATGTGGCTCAGTACCTTTTTCAGTGGGGCAGCTCACATCCTGCGGCTTCGGTGATCTGGGCAGGAGTGGGAGGAATCAACTTCCTCCTCCCCAGAATTCTCCTGCTCTCCTTGCATCATTTCCACTTCCTGTCTGGTTTTCCCACCTACACCTCCTGCCTGGCCAATCAGCGTTTATTTAAAACATGATTGACAGAATACAGACAATTCTCCCGCACCATTTCCCCATCTTTTTTTAAAACAAACAAACAAACAAACAAACAAACAAACAAAGGAAAATATCCTAGTCCAGTTTTTGGGAATGTGGGCATAGTATTCCAGGCTACTTCCAGCTGGTTGGGGGCACTGATAATCTTATGGGGACGTAAAGAAAATTTAGAGTTATGATCAAGTCCAGTGAGTCTTGATCATCTCAGGTAGCAGTCTTGAACCTGTTCTGGATGAAGAACTCTGATATCGGGCCATCTGTTCCTACTGGAGATTACTCAGGTGGTCTCCCTTGGTCAAAGATGATTTTTCTTAACTCTGAATAAATCCTCGGCTCGGCCTCTTGGTTCCCGCGCTTGGTTCCGGTTCCTGCTCCAGCGACTAGGCTCCTTTCCTGACGATTTATGTGCATGTAAGTTTACCCCCCAAAATAAATGCCCCTTTAAAACATAACTGGTATGGGATTGATTCGCCATTACATACTTCTTCACAACATGGATGGAGGAAGATGCAGAGGCTGTGAGCCTGAGAAACAGAAACACATACACACACCTCACCTCACCTAGCATCTAAATTTGGTGGCAAATTCTGTCCATGAACCAGCGTTTCTTTAGAATGCTTCTTAGCAAATACTTGAGTGCCGTAAACATTGTTGAGGACATTCTAAGCACAAAGTTCTCCTGATCGCCTGGAAGTCGTTCAGATTCTCCACACCAGTCCTTCCATCTTCCATGTTCTTGGCTGTGGCATCTGGAGAATGGGCCTGTGCTCCTTTGCCTTCCACTCTTCGCAAACACTCTACAAGACTGAACTAGTCCAATTCTGTGCTGACTCATTTAATTAGTTAACATCTCTCTATAAGAGTATTTATAGAAAGATGCTGGCAATAAACATAAAACACATTTTTTTCCTGTAGTCTTATCCTATGTATACCCAAAGTAAAACGTGTAGCAGTCCGAATTCAAAGATTCTCCAAGTTCCTTAAAGTAATTCTGGATCATTTAGATATGCATCTGACACATCCCAGACTCCACAGCACAATGCAACAGGACGCCCTCACTTACACTGTCTAGCAATTGAGTTCAACTTCATCTCAGAGTGCTCCTTGCTGCAGGCCATTTTGTGTACACTGCAGAAGATAATATTCACTGACAGCACAGCGTTCTCTCCCTAATGGTAACCACAGGTTCTGCCCCAGATAACAAAGCCAACGTGTGCAAGCTACCATGATTCATATTCAGTGCTTAGAGCCGCTGTAGGTGCATCACTACCAATCCCACTGTTTTAAGGCATGTATAAGGTTTCTGTAGAGGAACGCGGAGGAACCTAGACTGTACCTGATGAATAACCCAATTAAACCTTAAGGAACTTTCAATGGCATTCACTTAGAAGATTTGTATAAGAAGGTACTGCCTCTTAAACATAGCCATGAGAACAGTTCTAACTTCACACAGCTGATGAGGGAAGGGGAGAATGCCTTACATCTTTCTTTTCCAAAGTGTTGCTTCATGATTACCATCTAAACCCTGCTGGGCTGAACAGATTGGCTCGATAATTACATACAATAACTGCAGTGGGCAGGTAACCCTCAGCTGGCACGGGCAGCTCCCCTGTGAGAGCCTCCATATGCAAGTGCACTGATGGAGTGCGTTAGGTACGTCTTTCCTGCCGGTTCACAGGCCTGATTAACGGCAGCCAAGACTCCAAGGTTAGTGTGTCAGCAGACTTGTGATGCATTAGGCAGGGATAAACACAGACACTTTTGTTCGTTCAAATCCAAATTAAGAAGGAATATTTCAGCACTGTTCTGTGCTCCATATAGGCTAGAAAGCAGTTTCCAGATTTTAGAGGGTAGTTTTGAAGTGCTCATTATAAAGGGAGCTAGCCAGTATTTCTGACTGCAGAGCCTAGCACATTCAATCTGTTGTGAAGCTTATTTAATAAAAATGAGCTTTCTTAATCTCCATACAGGTGAATTACAAGGAATGAAAATCAGACAGCATTCAGCTGAGGAAAGGAACACCTGTGCATCAAGGAAGGTGGTGGTCACATTCACCCACACACCAGTCAGGAAGCTCTTACCCAACTTTTCTGACAGCATATGATGTCTGGGGAGAAAAGGCCCATGCAAAATAAAACGAAGTCAGTCTAGCTGAACACTGTAAGGATGGCACATGGTTCATAGGGCAACACACAAAATCCCAAACAACAAGCTGCTGGGCTCTCTTCTGAGCATTTCTGCAGCATCCTTATGCTTTGGGTGTGCGCGTGTGGGTTCCATCTGAAATGAAAAGCTTCCCAAGTGACTGTGCCAATCTCTGATTCTCTGACAGTCTCCACAATGTCTCGCAGGTACCTTTATTTGCATTTATAAATGAAACCAAAATACTGTATGACACACAGGGGCAACTTACAAAATACACATGGGATAGAGTTTGCTTTTAATTCAACATAGAAAAAGGTCTTAAAAAATAGGTTTATTTCAAAGGACATTAGTATACACCCTACACATTATATTTTTAAAGTGTTCAGATATGTTAGGTTAAAATTCAGCTAATTAGTTGCTTCTCACATCCAATTTAGAAAACAGGAAGACAAATCAGCTGAATGTACTGGACTGATAATTTACTAACAGTCTAAACACTGACTGGAGACCAAGAGAGCTGTTTCAACAAAAAGGACAACAAAAATCTTCAGAGGCAAAACCAGAGACCGATTCTCTGCTCAAGTCAAGCCTATAAAATCATACGCAAGAGCACATGACAGCCTTTAGGAAACACCATCCAGACCCATGGCCATCTCCAAACAAGTAAGTGATCCTCTCAGGGTGCCCTTCCCCTTACTACAGGCACCATTTTCATTTTAAAAACAAAGAACATACAGCCTAAAATTCGCAGGCAAAGATCTCCAGGCACAAATATGCACAAAACAGCTCATCTTAGTTGTCAGAGCCCAGTAAAGGCACCATGCAAACGCACACATTCAGACTGCTCTACTCTAGAGCAACTACAACAGAACATTAGTTATTAAGAGCAACGGGGGAGAATGACATGAGGGACAGCAAACACGGTGTGCCACAGAACCTGCAGCCTACAAGATTCAGTTAAAAAGTACTAGATGGCTTCTTCTTCTTCTGGAAAACACCAATGGCGGATGACGCCGGTGCAACAGGAGGGCCCAGAGGACCCGGGGGCCCAGGATTAGGAGGCCGTGGTCGGGGGCTCGCAGAGGTAAAGCTGAAGACAAGGAGTGGATTCCCGTCACCAAGCTGGGCCGCTTGGTTAAGGACATGAAAATCAAGTCCCTAGAGGAGATCTACCTGTTCTCCCTGCCCATTAAGGAGTCCGAGATCATTGACTTTTTCCTGGGAGCATCCCTAAAGGATGGGGCTCTGAAGATCATGCCTGTGCAGAAGCAGACTAGGGCAGGCCAGCGGACCAGGTTCAAGGCTTTCGTCGCTATTGGGGACTACAATGGTCACGTAGGTCTCGGTGTTAAAAGCTCCAAGGAGGTAGCCACTGCCATCCGAGGGGCCATCATCTTGGCCAAGCTTTCCATTGTTCCTGTGCGGAGAAGCTACTGGGGGAACAAGATTGGCAAGCCCCACACTGTGCCTTGCAAAGTGACAGGCCGCTGTGGTTCTGTGCTGGTGCGTCTCATTCCTGCCCCCAGAGGCACTGGCATAGTCTCCGCTCCTGTGCCCAAGAAGCTACTGATGATGGCTGGCATTGATGACTGCTACACATCAGCCAGGGGCTGCACTGCCACCCTGGGCAACTTTGCCAAGGCCACCTTTGATGCCATCTCTAAGACCTACAGCTACCTGACCCCTGACCTCTGGAAAGAGACTGTGTTCACCAAGTCTCCTTATCAGGAATTCACTGACCATCTTGTGAAAACCTGTACCAGAGTCTCTGTTCAGGGGACCCAGGCTCCAGCTGTGGCCACCACATAATGGTTTTTATACAAGAAAAATAAAAGTGAATCAAGTCTGTTAAAAAAAAAAAAGTACTAGATGGAAAAATGAAGAGAGGGACACAGGAAAGCCAAGGAGAATGTGCTCCTTGTTTTTCAGCTCAGGGCAACAAGGAGACTAGAACCCACTGCAGTCCTCGGGCAGATGTCTCCCCGTTACGTGACTGGTGAGTATAGAACAGCCATTGTTAACCACTGTGTACATTTCCAAGGAGGAAGAACGCACAATCTGTGCTCTTGTCGGAGTTACTTTCACATCTCTATTCCCTTAGGTATGCTCTTCCAGGGTAGGGACTCAGCCCTACCCATTCCTAAACCTAGCTGAGCTTTAGCACAGCACTGTACATGGATCTGCACGGACAGCAGCTATTCAACTACTGCAACCATGGCAGAGATTAGTTCAGTCTTACCTAGGTCTGCCAAATGCTGTACTATTTGAGTGGAAACTAAATAATTAAGATACATTTGAAGAAAACATTAGAAAGTATCATTCACAGTTAGAAGAAGAAATTAAAAATGGGAAGTAGGCTAGGAAATGAACAAATGACTTTTTTGAGAAAGACGTATGATTTGAAGACTCATCCAACACTGTTAGAACGCAGTAAAATGCTTGTTGTTTGAGGTGGGGCAATGACGAAGACTGCTCCAAGAGTAAGGGACGCTGTAACATCTTTCTCCAGAGCACCAGCCTCTACCCAAGTGAAGACAGCATCTACTGTGTGGCTAGCATGGTGACTAGCTTCTTCTGAACATTATAAAAAACAAATAAAATAAGATTAAAATCATTTGAGATGATGCCACAAACCTTTAATCCCAGCACTCAAAGAGGGCAGATCTTTGTGAGTGGGGGGGCCAGACTGGTCTACATAATGAGTTCCAGGCCAGCCGGGGCTATACAGTGAGACAGTCTCGCCTCCAAAAAGGAGGGGATTAAAGTAGAAAAGTACTGAGGATTTTATGAAAGCATTAAATATACACATGTTCAGTCTCTACACCTGGTTGCCTTTTCATACACTGTGTATAAAAATCCTTTCCACAAACGGATGCTCCATATAACCCTAATTACATGGAATTTCATTCTATGAAGTATTCATTCTTAAGCAGGCATAACATAACATGCCTTCATGGCCAACTCCCAATTTTCCAGTTATTTATCTAAATTTAGACATTTGTCTAAATTTAATTCTCTTACTAACAATTTTAATCTGCTCTGGGGATAGGAAGAAGAAATACAATTCAAGTAATTTTGCTAACTATTAACAAGTTTAGGGAGGAGAGTTTTAAAAAGGAAAATGTTTAAATTCAGTGTTCATTCCTACATGGAAGGGTTTACCATGAGCACCTGAAAAGGTACACCAGAAATCACCAGCAACCATTTGACTGTGCAACTACTACCGATGCAGTTGTCTGTGTCGGGCATCACAGGATAGGCACCCTCTTTACCATCCACTTGCTTATTATGGAGCATATTTGTGTCCCCTTTGGCTCACCTCTTGAAGCCCCAGAGAAAAAGCTGTTAGGAGTCCTCCTGATACTCATTTTATTAGAAGAACAGCTGATGAACAGGTGAGCAGAAGACCCAGCCAGAGCCACTCTGGGACAGCTCTGCACATCTGAGGACAGCATGTGCAACCTTTGCAGCAAGGGCGCTCCTGGACTAACGCTGGCATGAGCAACCTTGATAGTTACTTAGACTAAAGTGTTCTAGAGCCAATGACTGAGCTCTGGAGACCGACGCCTGTGTATTCTCTACCACGCTGGAATTAATGCGAAGTTCTGTCACCCATGCTTTCCTCGGAGGGCTCCATCACTTGTACCATTAATGTCAAAAACTTAAGATTGTTTTAAGGACAATTCATGGGAAAAAACAAAAATAGGCAGCTGGTTAAGCCTTAATTATCTATAATACTTTATGACTAAAATCACTAGGAGATTTTCTTTTTAAGTGCCTTGAGCTTCTCTGAGGCAAACTACCCTACAGATGTTACCAGAATGGCCCTAAGCACTCAGGGTGCCTTTTCTGAGACTGCCCCACCCCAACACAGACAAAGAATTTAGTAATTGCGGGTTTGGGTGGATGGATATGTGCATATGCAACCAGAGAGCACGTGGAGGCCAGAGAACAACTCTGGAGCTAATGTCCTCCCTTCACAGTTCCATGGGTTCTGGAGATAAAGCCCAGGTCACTGGACTTGGAAGGCCAGCAGAGCTGCCAGCCCCTTAGAAGCTATACCACAGTGATTCGTGTGAAGGTCACACTGTCCGTAAGAAAGTAGGTGAAAGGTGGTTCTGAAGTAGCCAGTTGACAGTCTGAAGTTTGAAGGGTTACCTACTCCCAGCATCAAGTCCTCTGCAGACTCTCAAGTAAGAACAAAACCCTAAGGCACTCACTGCAGATGTGATACTAGGTCACATTATAGCTGTCTGTCTCCATGATGATCAGTAAAACAGCAAACCCCACCTGGGCATCACACTAGGGCTAACCCTGTTTGCCATAGTCGCAGGTGAGCCAGTCCTGAGGGCATGAGAATAGAAGAGCTGACCTCCCCCACCCCCTATGTCACCAAACTCTCTCATTCTCTCACAGTGGCAGTAGACACTGTAGGAAAAACATTAAACAGGTAAATGGGCAACTAGGGTGAGGAACAAAATCTAAGAAAAGTTACAAAACCAAAAAAGAGACACTAAGCTCAAGCAGCACACAGAATTTCTATGTTCAGAATCATTAAAAAAAATTAAAAATAGCAATTCCTATCTATAAGGAGACATAAAAGGCCACACTGGTAACACAGTCAGTTATGGATAGGAGAGGCTACTGGACCCTACCCATCCCTGCTGATGTAATGGCCATTAACAAATTCTGGGAGAAGGGGAGTCACCGTCCTCAGCTGTGCATCAATGGGTGACCCCACCAGGCTCCAACAAAGACCTCAAAACCTATGGTTACACAAACTGCCCTAGTTAAACTTAGTGGGTCACAAAACAAATGACAGGGATGTGAGAGAGATTGATCTGAAGGAAGAAGGAGATGGGGTGGAAGAGGTTTGGACAGGGTGGGGTAAGAGGTCAGCATGCATATGTACACATGTTATGGTGACACAAAGAAAATCATTATTTCTCCTAAACTATGACTGAAAAGTAGAGCAAATGAGATGAGTGAGCTAGAAGCCCAGAGAACAGTTTTACCAAGAAAAGAAAACGTGCAAAAGTTCAATGTGAAGATGTGAAGGAAAGGTAGATTCCAGTTCTCCCAGATACCAGCAAAGGCGAGGGACTGGGAGGTGGGGGGCGGGGAGACTTGCATGCTTACAAAGATGAATTCTCAAGTTCCAAGATGAATGTTACATCTTTACACAAGGGTTCACCAAGTACCAAGCATACATGAGGTTTAAACTAACACACACACACACACACACACACACACACACACACATACACACACATTCTGTGGGAAAAGCATGATGACGGGGTAGAATAAAAAGCAAGAGGTCTCAAATCTGGGGGAGGAGGGACAGAAATCTAGAAACAAACAAAATTAACCAAACTGGAAGCTGAGAGATAACACAGCAGTGTCTTTGGCCAAATTACTCTTTCAGCGGAACAAATGGCACCATTTTTGGAAATTGTGGATTCATAAAGTTTACCACTTACAGCTTTCTTCAAAACAAAAAAACTTATTTGAGCACATATTCTAAAAAAATGAGTCCAAGAGAAAAGACACAGTAACAATAAAAAATACCAACAGAAATATAAAACTCAGGAATTCCACAGCACCAAGGACAAGGAACACACAAAGAAACAGAAGACTTACATTAACAACCTGAGACGTGGGCTGTAGGCGGGAGACATTCGTCTTATGTGGGAATGGATACAGATTCTAATTAAGTCTAAACGTTCACACACAAACAAGTTAAAATGTGTTAGAAAATAACGGTGAGGACATTTGGGAGACAAGAATCCACAGCTTCTTCCTGTCTAAAACCTAAAGAAACGAACCCAAAACAACCATTTAGCGGCATTTCTGCCACTAGCACTATGGCACCACTTTACGAACAGCTGCTGACAGCAGTGATCAAGAAGAATGGAGTCACATCCAGGAGTGAGGGTGGGTCCTATTCACCACTAAACCACACTGGGGATACCTTTCTCAAAACCTGTATCAGTAATCCCCCAATAAGAAAGTGCAGCTGGGTGGTAGTGGCACTCAGAACCAGAGGCACTTGAGGCAGAGGCAAGATGATCTGTGAGCTCGAGACCACCCTGGTCTACAGAGTTAGTTCTAGGACAGGACAGTCAGAGCTACACAGAGAAACTCTGTCTCAAAAAAAAAAAAAAAGAAAGGAAGGAAGTGCTGGCCAGGTAGGGGAAATAGGGGTGAAGTGGGGGGCTGTACATTTAAAACCCCTCTGCAAAGGAGACACACCCTCCACAGTGACCTGATAGCAGAAGAACCAAAAGCACTCATTATGTGTGAGTCACCAGAACAGGTGTCAAAAGAGAAAATAAGAGACACACAGAGCAAAACAGAGACCAGATCTTGCTTTTATGGAAGATTTACCAAGACCCAAGCAATGACTCAAGAGCTCACCCCTTTAACTAGGGAGAGAACTAAGGCACCTAGCAAGGAAAAACAGATCATAGGTCTGACAGCACAGGTTCTCCAACAGGTAGGTAATATCATTAACAACACTGAGCTCTAATCTCAAACTATGAGGAAAAATAACAGCTTTGTAAGATATAAAAGTCAGATACACAGACACAATAATCCAGCAATCCAGCAGAGTTTCCCCACTCAATATAAGTACAATCAAGAGAAAAGTCACACCAGCAAGTTAAACACCAAAGGCAAAAGGAGAAAATAAAAGAGAGTGGAGAGATGGCTCAGTGGTTAAAAACACAAAAATTTATAAATCTATTTGACGATTAAAAAGGGATTTTAAAAGCTAATGGAAAGTTTTTACAGATTTATTTTTATTAGGTGTGTGCACATACATGCATGCACACACCCAGACACACCACACCACACCACACCACACACACACACACACACACAAAAGTAGGTACTCACAGAGGCTGGAGGCATAGAAGCTCCTAGAGCTAGAGTTACAGACAGTTATGTGCTGCCAAGCATAATTTCTGGGAAGCAAACTTGGGTCCCTGCTTAAGCAGGTGCTCTTAACCACTGAGTCATCTCTCTAACCCCACTGAAATTGTTTTTAAAAGCAAAAGCAGTTCAGTTTGATTCTACATGATTATAATCTCAGGACGTAGGGGGCTGAGGCAGGAAGAGCTAGTTTCAATACAACCTGGGCTACATAGGGAGAATGAATCAAAAGAGACAAGAGAAGAGAGAAAGAAAATGCCCAGCTAAACAAATAGAACAATAACCATCACAGTATTTATGTATTAAAAACAGCCAAATCTAGAGGACAACTGAATGGCACGAAGGGAAGGTAGGGAATTATCAGAGACAACAAAAGACACAAAGAAATAATTAAACTGCTGAAACAAATTATACATGTATGGTCTCCACAGCAGAAAACCACCAAGGACGGGGAACCAATGAGCTGGCGAGAGGGTACAGGCACTTGCCACCAAATCTGTGTCCAATTCCCAAAACATGGATGAAGGAATGAACAAAACTCCCCCACAAGCTGCCCTCTTAACCTGCACAAGGTGTGCACATATGTACACATACTTATCCATTTAGGCACTCACTCTCTCACTCTGAGAGACAGAGTGTGTATGTGTGTAGGTTCATGTGTGTTCTTTAAAATAACTATTGAGACACAACAGAGGCAGGTGAGAAAACACAGAAGGAAAGCTGAGGTAAGCCCCATTCATGGAAGAGACTGGCGTAAAAAGAGCCATTCTTCCAGAACTGATCCATCACATCCATGCAATCTCAATCAAACTTCACACTTGTTTTTGTGAGAATAATCTGACTTTTACATGCAAGTGAAAGGACCCCAATTAGCAAAGTCAATTCCAGAGAGTGACAATAAAGGACCCTCACCATCTGATGTAATCATGAAGTCAGCATTAGCAAGAGAACACTAGGTAGACACTCACTGGATAGCAAGTGTCCAGAGCAGACAAGACAAGTCAGCATTAGCAAGAGAACACTAGGTAGACACTCACTGGATAGCAAGTGTCCAGAGCAGACAGTGACATGAGAGTCACTGCAACACTGTGGGGACCCAAGAGTCTTTCCAGTAAGTGCAGATCAACCAGCAGTTCAGCACGGGAGACCCCATCTGCAATTATAAAACTGGCGAGGCTGAGGCAAGGGGACTCCAAGTTTAAAGCCAACCTGGACTACACAGTGAGTTCAGGCCAGCCTGAGCAGTTAGTGAAAGCCTCTAGGGAAAATCAACAGTGATGCAGTCCCGTAGGAGTATGTACATAGTGTGCATGGAACCCCAGGTTCACCCTCTAGGGAATGGTGGCAGGGGTGGGGTGATAAAGCAAACGAAACGCTCCTGGTCTGCTCCACTTCATTTTACAAACAAAAAGATGAAAATCGAGTCAAACTAAGAATTTACTTCAGTTATATGACTACCAAGCAGCTTCATAATCTTGCCACAGGCAAATCTGAGTGTTTTGTAATTCCTTTCAAAATAATTAAAAAAAAAAAAAAAAAAACAACGAAACTATCTTTTCTCATTTTACATGCCAATTCCAGTTCTCACTAAAGGCACCAGCAGCTCTTCCACCGAACTGGCCATTACTTCTCAGTATTTCTCTGCTAACAGCTGAGTCCCTTGAATGCAGATAAACCAGCATTCCTTTAAAGATCCCGTTCATGTTTGAAGACATGCCAAGCCAAGCCATATGCCAACTTTCAGAGACATTTTCACCATATCCATAAACAAAGAGAAACTGAGGCAAGACTAAAGGTGACCCAGCAGAAATATATTCAAGTTTCAGTGCCCCATCAACACCCATCCTCAGATCCCAAGTGAGGCCATTTCAGACATTTAGTAACCTGCCCCTGTAATGATGTAAGAAGTCCATGTCCTCCTGTCCCCAGTGCTGTAAGAAGTCCATGTCCTCCTGTCCCCAGTGCTCTGCGCCTGCTCTGCTGTCAGGCTGCCCCCACAAGGCAGCAAAAAACCCTTCACCTGCAACCCACCTAGACTTTCTTGCTGAGCTAAGGTTTCACCTGCCTACAATGCCTATTAAACTGAATCCAAAGAAGCCCAGAGTCACTCAATACCCAGACTCACCTTTGAAGCTGGCTTTGTCTTCATACTTCCATTCTCCACAGCACTAAAATCCAGTTTGCCATCATCTTTACTTCCTATAGCTTTTAGTCCTTGTGAAAGAATGTCACGTAAATTTTGATAAAGAGGTTTTTCAGTGTAGTCCAGTAATTTCACAGTTTCCATGTACTTAGCAATTTCACCTAAAACAATGACACATTTTATCACTTTTAGTCACAAACCCAATATGTCTGTCTCATTCCTAAGAAAACAGTCCATAGACAATGTAAAATTACAATACAAGTGGGCAACATGTTAAAATAGAAACCTTGTTCTTAACCAAAGCGCAGTGCAAAGTATGCTTTTAAGCCCAAAAATTAACAGGTAAGTAAAACAACATATTTTGAGACACAATGTAAAAGACATTTCTGCAACTATAAGAGACAATAAGAATATATTCAAACATACATAAAATGTAAATATAAAAGGAATTCAGAAAGTAGTTTGTCCTGAGTTGCAGTGACCCCAGAAGCTATCGGTCCTACAATGAAAAGCTGTATGCTATAAGGTGAGAATCAGAGCCCGAGAGCAGATTCAAAAGCACAGGACAGGGCCAGAGAGGCCTGGATTTCTGCATGAGAAGAAACCTACCTGGCAGGATTGGCCCCTCACAAAGAATTTCCCTTGACACACACAGGCGTCCACTGCTTCATCATCAGATCCTTGATTACACAACCACTACCACAAACCCCAACTCCTGACCGAGCTTAAAAACAAACAAACAAAAAAACTGCACTCCATCAATCTCTCTGGTGTGTGTCACTGGAAATCTTACCCTCCCAGCTCAAACCAACATCTTTTCAGTCTTCCCTCTATTCAACATCAATATATGATGCTCTTTTGTCAGAGTAGTATCCATGCATAGATGCACATATAACTAACTACTAGTTTAACTATGTAAGTGCCACTGTATACCAGGCTCTATTCTGGACAGCTGAGATACAGCAGGGGAACAGGGGTGGTCTCAAATCTGTACTATCTTAACAAGAAAAAAAGAAATCTGAAACACCCAAGACAGTATGGTCAAAACACACTGTATGAAAATATGAAAAAATTAATAAAAATATATTTTTAAAACTCGTGAAACAAACATTAGTATATCTGGCAAAATAACCAAAAGCTTTTGTTTTAGATGAGAGGCAGAGAACTCCGCTTTCACCACCGTCTACGGAGAACACAAGAGCCAAGTTTGCTTTAGCTGGCATCTAAAGGCAAGAAAGTAGGTCAGAGGGCATCAGAGCACCTTCAGGAGCAAACAGCATGGCTGGGCTTGCATCAAGGTCTATGAAAGAAAGGATTTGGTATGAAAACTTGTAATCCTAGCTTTCAGGAAGCTGAGGCAGGAAGAGTGCAAATTCAAGGCCAGCAAGGGCTACACAGAGGAACCAAGTACTGGCACAAAGGGATGGAAGGAAAGGGAAAGGAAACAACAAAGCAAAATTCCTACAGCACAGTATAGAATACAGGGTGAAAATACATAAAAATCTGCCCTATTTTTATATACTGTTAGAACTTGGAAATGAAATGTTCAAACCAGAATACTTAACATAGAACAAAAAAAAAAAATCAGTTACCCAATGTGACTGTGATGACGGCAAGATTTCTGTGGAGACCAAAATACAACCAGAATTTAAGGAGGAATTTAATGGAAGAGCCGCCACAGTGGGCTGGAAGACAGGATTACAAAGGCAGTGGCTCTTTAAATCACAGCAGACTCACTCCGAAAGCCCAGCAAACATGGGGGGGTCTGACAGTGACTTCAGCAGAAATGCAGTCAAGATCAAAGTCAAGGGGCTGGAGAGCCGGCTCAGCAATTAAAAGCACTGGCTGCTCCTCCAAGGATGTGGGTTCCATTCCCAACACCCACATGGTGACTCACAATTATCTGTAACTCCAATTCTAGGAGATTCAATGCCCTCTACTGGTCTCTGTAGGCACTAGGCATACCTGTAGTATTTAGACAGAGAAAAAATTCAAACACACACCTTTTTGTTTTTTGAGACAGTTTCTCTGTGTATGTAGTCCTGGCTCTCCTGGAACTCACTCTGTAGATCAAGCTGGCCTTGAACTCAGAGATCTGCCTGCCACTGCCTCACAAGTGTTGGGATTAAAAGCATGTACCAGTAAAAAAAATCTTTATTGAAAAAAAAAAAAAGTTGGGTTTAAACAACAACAACACTTAAGTACTTAAACCACCAGATACTGCCAGGCAGCAAGACCAAAGAGAAAATTGCAATATCTGATAAGTACGGATGAGGACGAGACAAAAAGAACAATTCAAAGAACAGAGTCCACACAAGAGTTCTGACAAAAGAAACACCAGAAGATAAAGGAAGTCTTTAAGATAGGACACAAAGTCAACTGACTATGACCATTCTCACACATAGTCAAACTGAACCCCATAGTCTGTATGGGAAAATCGCTCCTGTGCGGCAGACAAGACCCAGATATGCAGTAGCATAGTAAACAATGGAATGTAGATATAACAGAGCACCACACAGACAGACAAACAACGTAAGTCTTAGTGCACTCAGCCCAAGACTGAGGACAGAAATGAATGGTAACAGAAGGACACCCTGCAGAGTGCTCCCCAGTCCTACCCTCAGCGGTCTTCCCTCAACCAGGACCTAGAGGTGGTTGTCTCTAGAATAGTGGTTCTCAACCTGTGGGCCACAACCCCTTGGTTGGGGGGTCCAAATGACCCTTTCACATGGGTTCCCTAAGACCATCCTGCATAGAAGATATCTACATTATGATTCATAACAGTAGCAAAAATACAGGTATGAAGTAGCAGTGAAAATAATTTCATGGCTGGGGGTCACCATGACATGAGGTGTATTAAAGAATTATAGCATTAGGAAGGTTGAGAACCACTGCTCTAAAAAGTAAAGCCATTGGCATCCCGTCTATTTCAAGCTCTAGACTCTTGATCAAAGTAAAAACGAGTGACCTCATGATGACCAAAAAGGACAGAGTCCTCACATCCTCTAGAGCAGTCTCCCAACCTCCACACAGCTACTTCTTCACCCCTTCCTTACAATAATGCTGCAGTGTCCCATCCACAAGGTTGTCCTTGGCCATGCTACTCAAAATTTAAACTCTCTTTCCTACTCTCTGTGCTATCTCTACATTCCCAATTCCCTTCCTGTCTTCTTATTCTCCAGAGGACTAACACATAATGTGCTAACAAAAATCACTGCTGTGTACTTAGCTGCAGCAAGAGTGTCAGCATCCTGAGGGCAGAGGTAAGATGCAGCCTGCACTGACAGCAGTCTCTGGCATATAATACAACCTCCATAAACACTGGCTAAGCGAACAAAACGTGTTTCCCTGATGAAAGCCAAGGGTAACCATATGAGGCTCCAAAGCTCACTGACTGGTTCACTGTGCAAAGTTGCTTTTGGGAAGAAGGTATACCTCCGACAACAGTAATGTCCTAAAATGCCCAGGCTCACAGGCTGAGGGATTTTTTTCCTTTCAGAACCTAAAGCTCTATGAAGGTCTATGGAAACCTTCCCTACCTGGCTTGTTCTTCTCAGGAAAGCATTTCTCCATCAAAGCTCCGACATTATCCCTGTATCTGTTGAGGAAGGAAGGAATGCTTAGTGACAAGTGCCATTCTGAGCTCAGTCCCCTACTGGGACAGCACAGCAGGCTTCCTGCTACCTCACCAGCACCTTCTACTTTACACACCACTGAGCCAGGTGTGGTGACTGTGACATGCCTATAACAGCAACATTCAGGAGGTCGAGGCAGGAAGGCTGCTCAGCAAAGCACTGTCTAAAAATATAAAATAAAGTAAAGCAAAATAAAATAAAATAAATAATCTAGAAAGCAAAACCCAATAGGTCTTGTCAGGAAATTCTGACTAAAATCCTCTGCCCTATCACCACCCAACCCAAAATAATGTAAGATGTCCCTTACCTAATTTTAGAATCTCTAACGTAGTTGGGATCTTTCAAGTTATCCTCCCAAGGAAGACAGCCACTAAGCCACTGGATCATGCAATAACCAAGTATTTCCAAATCGCCACGTCGTGATGGGGCTACAAACACAAGATCAAGCAGTGTACAACAGCTTTCCAGAAAGACAGAGCAGTCCACTCAAGTCTACCTTGCGGCAGAAACATTTGTGTGAATGTATGAAAACATTGAACATTGGTCTGTATAAAAGAAATATTTATCTACAACTAATAACCCAAACTGACTTAAATTTACTTAGCCCAAACTTACTTAAAACCCACACTGAGAAAACTTAAGGTTTCAAACTGCTACTACCGTCTAAGAAATACAAGTCTGAAAGCACCTCACATGCACTGCTATCTTTGGGGGACGGTAAGCTATTAAAATGTTGACACTCTAAATACTGTGAGGGCCACCACAGCAAAAGACACAGACACCAGACTAAATTACCTTACACAAAAGCTACTCGCCATAAAGGCGTAGTTCATAAGAAACCAGGATGTAGAAAACAAAGCCGCACAGAGGTGAGCTATGAGAACCCAAAGATCCAGTTCTCCCTGAAGGGCAGGGGCATGCACAAGGGCCTTACTCCACTGTAGGAGCCAAACCTTTGCCCTCTTTCTCATCCCACTCTGCTTCTTCCAGTATTCTTATCAGTCTACTTATTTCTTAGCATAATTAAGTATAGAAATTCAGAAGAAACACCAGTACAGACCACCGTGGACACACCAGGTCACTGTAGACACAGCAAGCTACTGTGGACACAACAGGCCACTGTGGACATACCCACGCCATTGTGCGCATCGATGCTGGTGAACTCCAGTGTGCCATCATGGCATCTTTTGGGATCTTCTTTGTACGCTTTATGAACTCCATCTGGGCAGTACCGATAAGCAAGTCCATAGTCTACCAAGTACACCTATAAATTTCCAAGTGCCAAATTAAAGACAAAAATCAATCTACATGGATCACTCAAAAAGTACAGAAATAGCCGGGCGGTGGTGGTGCACACCTTTAATCCCAGCACTCGGGAGGCAGAGGCAGGCAGATCTCTGTGAGTTCGAGGCCAGCCTGGTCTACAAGAACTAGTTCGGGGACAGGCTTCAAAGCTACAGAGAAACCCTGTCCCGAAAAACCAAAAAAGTACAGAAACAAAAAAAATATAACCACTTGGGGGTAGATTCATCTACGAGGGCAAATTAGCAGCTCTCCAAACAAGTCAAATCTAATGTGAACACTGTAGAAGTACTGAACCGACCCCCTAACTCCTCTGGAACGCTGGGAACTGCACCTAAAGCTTCATAAATGCTAAACATGAGCTCTGCCACTGAGCTATTATCTCTGAGTAATTCTTTTTTTTTTTTCATTTTTCAAGGCAGGGTTTCTCTGTATAACTTTGGCTGCCCTCGAACTCACAGAGATCTACCTGCCTCTGCCTCCCAAGTGCTGGGATTACAGGTGTGAGTCATCATTGTCCAGCCCTAATTCTTACTTTTAAGAAATCTTATTTTGTTTGCAGTATTGAGTCTAACTCAGGACCTACCTCTGCCACTGCGCTACCCAACCCTCTCACCCAAGAATTTTTACTTTTAATAAATGTTAAATGACCATGAAGCAACAGTTCTTAGAAAACTATTTCATTTTGCATATTTTCTCAGAAAAGTATGTGCTAAACTTCTAACTAATCCTGAGCAAGGATTACTGGTGTCAAGTTTTTCTCAGAGTCTAGAACATAACTATCACACAAAGTAAGCTTTCAAGACTCTTTCCACAAAGAAAAGAGAAATGAACAATATCAGCACACAATACAACAGTTGTCTTCTCTTGATTCTTCACCTGCAGGCCTATTTACATCATAAAAATTGTTCAAGGGCTAAAATAATATTCAAAACTCTTATATGAGGTCTTTATCTACAGTTTAAAATACTGTATATTAAAGTCGAGACTTCCAGATTAAAGCTAATTTGTAATGCAGACAGAGGAATCCAATGAGCAAAGTCTGTTGCTCTAGCACACAACCTTAGTACATGTGGTGCCCATTGACAGCCACACATTAGACCTGATTCTCTATCACAAATGCATGCGCCCATATACATGTGAGCACAAAGACGGACTAAGTACTGGGAAAGTAACCTCATCCACACATGCCTGAAAGGTAGGAGAGATGCACATGGCTGTCATAAGAACAAAAAGTTGCTCGTGTTAGCCAAGCGCAAACTAACAGGAGTCAATCTTTTGTAGGACTAGGCAAGTCCCTCCTACTCCGGCTAAAGGGACCCCTACTGTTCAGGTTCTTGGCTGTGTTCAAGGAAACAGCTCAAATGAGACGGCTGTGGAGAGGTGAAACTGGCCATGCCTCACAGAGCGCCCAAGCACAGCAACTCTCTTTCTCTTGGTGCACTACACATATCCCGGATGATCTCCACAGCCTATTGAGGGGAAGCAAACACACTGTGGTAGAAAAGAAGGCAATCAAAAGAAAAAGGGAAATCTAAGCCATAGGTGGTTGCGAACAGGTAGCTCTATGAGAAAGAGCCAAGTTCATAGAATGTGGACGGACCACTGCAGCAAACCAAGTTCATAGAATGTGGACGGACCACTGCAGCAAACCAAGTTCATAGAATGTGGACGGACCACTGCAGCAAACCAAGTTCATAGAATGTGGACGGACCACTGCAGCAAACCAAGCACTCAAAGCTTCCTTCTCATACAATACCAAGAAGTGCCATTCCAGCATCTTCTTTGCACAAAACATGGAAATGGCTACAAGCATCCTGTATGTCACTGACAACTGAGCTGACTCCAACACAGGTATACAATAGAGCTTTCTCCTCTTAAACATAAAACTGCAAAGGGAACGAAGCAGACTGAAAACGCACACCTGCACTGCAGCCCTAAAGACAGACAAATTCATACCAAACTTTCCGAGTAACAGACATATCTGATGGAGTTCTTGAACAAATGAAATTTTAAAAGGTGACAGAGCGGACAGGCAAAGTTAATTCATTGGTGCACTACATAATTTTAAGCTTCCACCCCCAAATAGCTATTTGAAATTCATTTTGTATCAAATACTTCTGAATATTATTTAGAACAAATCAGCCAACTTGATAAAGTGCCAGCAGTTCAAACTGCAGCAAAAATTCAGAATGGTAACTATATAAAAGTGTCTGAAGAAACAGTACTGTTAGTATATCTTAAAAAAAAAAAAAAAAAAAAAAGCAGAGCTTGTGGGGGGTTCAGTCCAGAGCACCCTACTTGCTCATGCAGCATGTTTTACAAACAATAAAGATTGACATTCTAAGGACCTGGTCAGGGTTCTTGTAGCTCAGAAGAAGGTTGGAGGCTTTGATGTCCCCATGCACATACTCATGCTCGTGGATGTATTCCAGGATATCCAGCTATGGAGAACACACACAGTAAATTAATGCAGTACCAAACACAGCCAGCAGAGGACTGAGCCGTGACAGAAACAGCCCTCACTGCATCCACAACAAGGATCAGAGCTCACATACAATTCTCAAGCTTAGCTGCAAAACAGTTTTCCGAGAAAACCTTTTGGCATTTGCTTCATATATTTTCTGAAGGTCACTCCCAAAGCGGTCCATTATCATAAACCTGTAACTGAAGACAAACAAGGAGAGTCAGTGAGGGAAATAACTAGGAACATGCACTAGCAATGAATATTCTCCCTTCAGATTATGTCAAATTATGCTGAATAAGGCAGTATTATAAAAGAGGAGGAAAGGGGCATGAACACACACCATGAAGAATTTCTCCCATCTAGACAGAAATCTCAAGAATTCAGAATGTTGCACTGTCCTGTCTTCCTGGGTCTAAACTAGTTTTACAGGAGACAACACTCAATTTAAGACAATGCCCACACAGACTTGAGCAGACCCATCTACAGTGAAGCACATTCACTTGGCTTTGAGAGCGGGCACTGATTCTTCTCCTGAAGTTACCTGCTGTTTCTAAACAGGAGCGTCCTCCTGTGACTGTGTCTCCATTTTTAATGTATATTTCAGCAATAAAATGCTCTGTTAAATCTAGACTGTCAAGAGGTGGCTTAAAAATCACATTCAGTAAAACTGTCCAAACGGTATAAAGCGATTATGTAGTAAACACTCAATGGTCAAGATTTGGAAATGAAATACCCTGCAGAAATGACAAAGTTTGGGTTTACCATTAAATTGCATGTCACCTTGACCAAGTGATATTACTTCCTCAAGCCATAATTCCTAGAAATGAAATGAGGAGGTGGGTCTCATCCTTCCTAGGGACTCGAACTCTAAGCATGCATGTGAGACGCACTAGAGACCTGTAATGGTGCTGCTCAACTCCTCTAAATGTCACTCTCTCCTTCAAGAGTTAGCCAGAGACTACTGTGTCTACTGAAATCATGAAGACAGACACACAAGACAGAACTCCTCATGGGATGAGCACACAGCCACAGAAGTCAGCTGGTGCACCTCACCCCACGGTGTACCTCACCCAGGGCACTCACCAGGCAGGTGCTCTTCCATCCCATTTTACATAAGAACATTTTAGTGCCCTCCCCTCGTTAGAACCACTGTCTTCCACACACTGGAATAATAACAGTGTACAACACAAAAGTCATGCTTCCATAATGTAGGTTTTTATGACAATAAAATATGGCGAGTTACAAAACAGTCAGCTAATACTAAAAGATTGTATCATAAGGGCTGGAGATATGGCTCAGTGGTTAAGAGCACTGGCTGCTCTTCCAGAGGTTCTGAGTTCAATTCCCAGCGGGCACATGGTGGCTCACAACCATCTGTAATGATATCTGGTGCCCTCTTCTGGCATGCGGGCATACATGGAGGAAGAATGTTGTATAATAAAAAATAAATAAATAAATAAATCTTTTTTAAAAATTTAAAAAAAGATGGTGTCATAATATAAAATAAAGAGTCCTATTCATTTTTGAGACAGAAGAGAATTAGAGACTCTGTCTGTACATTTTTTAATAAGATAGCAATGTTTTAGGAGGTAAAGTTTATGTCAAAGTCATACGATCAAGTAGGGGCAAATATCCATTTGTATTAACATTCCCACAACCCTGGCCTCTAATATAATACAGAACAGTCATGTGACTTCCCAATATCCTATGTAGGCAGGTTTTGCAAAGCTGAGAGAGGAGCAGGATATACACCTCTGCCTCTTCCAAAGACTGTGTGATCACTACAAAACTGATTAACAGTGTAACCTTTGACCTTTGCCGACAGTTTGTACCCTAGGGTCACTACTCCTGTGATGAAGCACCATGACCAAAGCAACTGGGGAGAAAAGAGTTTATTCAACCTATACTTCCACATCACTATTTATCACTGAAGGAAGCCAGGGCAGAAACTCAAACAAGACAGGAACCTGGAGGCAGGAGCTTATACAGAGGCCAAGGAGGGGTGCTGCTTACTGGCTTGCTTAGCCTGTTTTCTTATAGGAAAGAATCTTGTGGAAGTATTTTCTCAATCAAGTTTCCTCCTCTCAGGTAACTCCAGCTTGTGTTCAGTTGACACAGACCTAGCCAGCAGAGTCTGGAAGATGGTAACACTGTCTAATCAACACAAGGCCCACCACTAAAGCAGATTAACCAGGCCTTTGCTTTTACATGCAAATCACCCTTTCACTAACTCTGAACAAATGGCCCTAAAATCTTCTCAACATTCCTAAATTATAAACAAATGACACACACAAACTGTTAGCATGTTTTCCTGAGAGAGAGCTCTAAGACTGAATATTGAGAGAAAGCTGCTTCCAAATATGTCAGGTAAGGCCTTTTTCAGGGACTTGGCTAAATGCTTCAAGTAATGAGAAAATATTAATCAGAACAAACAATTCCCAAATGGCAACATAAGTATTTTTTACAATCCTCATACTGTCCCAATCACTCCCCATCACTCCCAAACAGGTTAAAGTAAGGGTGGCTGGCAGGGGAGGTGGCTGGAAGTAGAGTCCTATGTTCTATTTCTTTACTTCTGAAAGACTTATGTGATTATTTTTAGTGCTTCAACCTATAGTCAACACTTCATCCATGACCAGTCTGAGTCTCGTGCTCCACTGAGGAAAATCTAGTAAGCTCAGTTTCAGAAGGAATGGTCATTACTAACAATAAACTAAGACACGGCTGGAGACTCGCTCAGCTATGGTTACCCACTCTGAGTCCTCTGAAACTCCTCCCAGGTATCCTTTGAACAACCAGTCTTCCACACACTACCTCTCTCTGGATTCCAGGGAGCCCCAGACTTCCCAAGAGGACATGCATGGCTCTCTAGTAAATAAAACTGGCAGGCTTACACACTGGTTGCTCCATTCTCAAGTCTTTGCTAACACAGTACCAATTTGGCTTGGGCATTCCCTCCCCTTCCAAAGAGACCAAGAAACTTGTGTGACCTGTGTGACCACTTGGACCTTTCCAGTGGCAGGTTTAAGCATAAGAATTACAAAACTGTGACCAAGAAAATGTATAAGGAAGTCTCATAGGACTCCAGGAGAAGTTCCTTGATATGAAAACTCAGAAGACATTGACATCAATTTCTGACACTGGCACTGTGTCTGCATGTGAGGTCCAGAAATGGAGCAGCTTTCCCAGTGACACAAAAGGATATTAACAGAGTGCTAGACAATGAGGGTAACTGTGCAAGAAAAACAAAAATGTAGGTACAACCCCAGACTCAGGAGGAGCAGGCCAGAGGACACTGTCAGTCTGGGCTCTGCAGTGAGTTAAGTCTAGAAAGCAAGACCTTAGCTCAAAAAAGTAAAGCCATGGAATTAGGCCTTTGGTGACTGCTTAAAATAGTGGAGTCACAGTTGTTCTTCACCTAATACAAACACATTCTAACAAGTAGACCTCCAGTTTCTGACTAGGTCTGGCCTTCATGGTCTCCTACAAGTTTTGAAAAGAGCAGACTGCAAAGGCATTAGGGGTTTTCTTCAACTCCAACTCCTGAGACATCTAAGAGGAAAGGGTTACACAAATTAGCACCCAGCTTTTCTCCCATGTTTCAGAAATGTTGTCTCTAAATGTTTGTCACCTCTAACCAGCTAAACTAAAGCTCTCATAAAGAACAAGGCTCTAGTCTCCATGAATGATTAGACATTAACTATGAGATATCAAATGGGATCTTGAGGGCTCTTTTGCATAAAGAATGGGAGAGGCAGGGTGCAATCTTTTGGTTTTGTTCTTGTCAATGGAGCTAGCCACCTGACACTGCTCCCTCCATACAAGTTCAAAGATAGGCTGCCCCACACTATGGTGGAGAGAGGGAAGCAGAGTTCAATCTTACCCCTCCCCTCTGCTGCCCCACAGCCCAGATGTACACCTAGTTATTGTGGGTGCTCAGCAATAAACTCCCAACTAAAACAACCCAACAAGAAATGCTTAAATGTAGATTTTTACCTTTTTCCATTTTTATCATGTAGACCAGATCCCCAATACTTAGGAACACCAAGGTACTTCAATTTATGTGTACGAATCCATTTCTGAACTAGAAGTTGAAAGAGAGGCCTGCGATGTCAACTTCTGTATGTAAATGGTCATTTCCAAACAAATGACTAAGGGTAGAACATACTTACATGAGCAACAAAACCACTCCTACTCATAACAGGATGAAAAGAGCACAGAGGAACATAAAGGATCATAAAAATGGTGCTCTGCTGTTACCTTGTCCGAACTGGCCACCCGTGAAAACTGTTCTGAAGCACACAGCGACAGCACTGCCTAATGATGGAGTTTGCCTGCTTCCACAACAAGACTGACTCTCACCCCAGTCTCTAGAAACACAGGGCTGTCTCCTTCAATAGTTACATCTCCTCCTCACCTTGCAAATCAAGATGTAGGAGACACGAAGTGCTGTTCCCACTCCCTTACCATAAGGAGTTTGGGCCTCAGATGAAACAAGAGATGAGAGCAGCCAGGAGGCTGTTCACTGCACTGGGTCTCAGCAAATCCAGTGCCCATCCCTCTTCATGTGCTTGAGGTTTTAGCAAAATGCTCAAAAAAGTTAGAGACCATGTATTCACACTTGTCAATTAAGGTAATTCGTGTATTTCCTAGACCACATACCATTGATTATTCACATACCAACAAACCAAACAGCAAACACATCAGAATGACTTCCTGCAAATACCATTTGAATGGAATTTATGTATGAAACAAATGCAAACAAAGCCACAGGATGTGGCACTTTAACCTAGCTTATGTGAAATAAAGTCAAGCAAACTGCTTATTTTTAAATATTTAAACCTTTAACAAGACAATTTTAAACATATTTATTGTTTCTTACTTTGCTCTGGTTTAGCAGCCCGCTGGTAAAACTTCAATTCAGTGAAAAGAGGTCCATTGTCACTGGGTTCCTTAGAATACAAAAGTCAATTAAAATTATTGAATTATTTTCACTGAACCTTCAAAAATGGAGTAAATGTAATTTTTCCTACAACAAAAATGTAACTTTGGTATTTAAATTTTTAAGCTATTAAAAGATTAAATTCAACTCCTTAGAAATATTTTCCATGTTCTCACAATAATCTTTATTTCTCTGAAGCTCAACTTTCATAAGTGATGAATTATCAAAAATTTAGTTTTCTTTGCAGAAGTTTAAGACAAATGTTTAAACTAATATTCATCTTTATTAAGCAAAGGCCAGAAACCATGTTAAATGTATCACCACCAAGGGCCTACAAGACATTTCTGAGATTTAATAAGATTCAACTCTGATTTAACCAAGGTTGGACTCCCATTCCTTTCCTTCATTCTTCCCTTGGTTCAACCTAGTTATCAGGACTGGCAGGAATGGATCTGGATCTCCAGAGCAAAACAGCACTCTGCTCTTTGCTTTCTGACACTGACTCCTATGTTTCTCAGACAAAGAACCCTCCAACTTTTGTAAAATCAAAAGGAAATTAGAGCTAAATAACTGTTTTCCCCAACTTTACTACACAGCATCTATTTCCTATTTCAAGGGATATTAATCATTTGAATTATTTGTAAAAAGACAAACATGTACAAAGAGATATTTTACACAACAAGAGATAACAGTCACGTTGTTTAATAAATATGGATAAGAAATAAGTAATAATTTTGTTGCCTTTTTAAATACTGAGTTTGGTCTGGCTTATTGATAAAGTAGTATTTACTTAATGTTTGATATTTTATACTGATTTTAAAGAAATGACAACTTCAAATAGGAAAGCAAACATTTCTAAACTAATCTGAGCAAAATATTTCAGACAGAAAACCTGCATGGCTGGAGTTAAGGTTCAGAGCTCATTAGACCTGGCAAAGATCTGAGCTGAAGCTCTTCCCCACCTCAGCAACATCTGCTCCAAACCCTGAAAATAAGTACATCTACATTTTCTCCACTGACGAAACCCTCCATTACTACAGAAGTTAATTTGGGTCCTCGAGATGTCAATTAAAACCTTTATTCCATGAACAATTCTCTCAGCTCACAAGTCTCCAGGTAACATGTTTACCGGACTCTACTCATCAGCAATCAAGCATACCTAACCCCAGTGAGCATGTAAGTCACAAATGGGCAATGCTCGGATCAGAAAGAACCCAAACGGTTTGCCATACTTGCTATAACTTAGCCTTAGGAAATCAGTGTTCAAGCGCCCTACATGTCACCAAGCTCTGACCCAGGATCAAGTCCCTGTACTCAAGTGCAAATGTCAAGAGCCTAATTGATGTGAAGCAAGAAACTCTCCCGGAGCCAGAAACATGAGCAAATGTGACTGAGTAAGTCACAGAATAAGTGAAATTAAAGAAAAAGAATTTTGGTTAACTTTCAGAATGACTCATTAATAAAACCCAGGCTTAAAGGACGCTTTCCCAAGACCACTCCTGGCTTACTACCAACAATGTAAGGCTTTTGATTTATTCAGTTTCAACCTACATCCTATCAACTTTAATTTTCAAATTTCCTTCAAGCAATAATTTATTAAACTTCTAATGTGAGTCAACCATATAAATGAGGACGCTATAATGCAGACTTTCTGAGCACTTTCTTACATTAGCTATCCAATAGGCTTCCATTATGACAAAGTAAAGGAACTACTTCTTGGCACTGTGCTTTAGCTGAAGCAAGCTATCTGTGGAGAAAATACCTTATCTCAGAACTAAAATTGTATTAACATATTTCAAATCTAAAATACTTTGCCAACTCTATAATAGCCAAGATTTAGAAAAGAAATTGGGACTGACATTTTAACTAGAATATCACTAAACGTTTCCTTAAGACTTCTAAGTGTCAAAATGACTATGACAACAGGAAAAAAATTAAAATGTGATATATTTCAATGGCACCATCCAAAAGCAACTGGCTGCCATTTAAAAATGAAGCTGTACAAAGTTTCTCCTTCTTAACAAAAAAATTAAGATATCTGAATTGAAAATTCCAAATATACATCACAACATCAGGCAAAGTCCTTCCCAGGAGGCTGTGAGATAGAGACCATCAGTTCTCCAAGAAAGGACCACCATGCACCAGCTCTGGGTGACACAAACTGGAAGCTACCTTCAGGCTTCCAATTCTGTTCCCACAAAGATGAGAATGACTCAAAGAACTAATTTTTACTAAGTCTTCGGTTAGATGTGGGAGGGAGGAATTAGAAAAGTCTGCTCATATTATCCAGTTTACTTATTTACTGCTTCTTCCTGACCACCTAATTTCATATGCACACGTGCACACAGCCACACATAGCTAACTGTTCTGATGACACAGAAGCACTATCCTACAGCACCTTGCATGGTCAAGGATGAAGAAGGCCCTAAACACAAACAGGAGGCAGTGTATAGGAGATGCTGAGACATCTAACGTGCATGTGTATCTTATGTTCACATCAATACCAAATGCAGGTCTACAGAGCTCATTCACAAAGCAGGCATGTCAGAAGTAACCAAGTTTTCAAGGTGGAGACTCAGAGCAGAATCATGGGAAAGAATCTCAGAGTCAAAGTCCAGATCTGCAGACATAATCCCATCTGACACAATAATATAGCACAAGGCGGCAGGTTCTAATTTGGATCTCCACCTGACAGATTTATCAAAGCTTGGTTAAAGTTATGTGATTACATAACCTTACAGTAAAAACCAACTTAGCTGTATGTCTTAAATAACTTGCCCATTTTTGTTCTAAAAATAAAAGGCATGCTCATTTTTCCAATGCACAAGTATCGTGGTGTATCTCTTCATAGAACCATCTCATAAAGACCCTTGCATACTAAGCTTCACATCTTGCTGTTCTGGTATGGTGCCCAGTCAGTCATTCATGTTCTCTGAAAACACAAGCCTTAGCTAGCACTGCAGCAGTCACAGAAACCTGCCTAGCAGCCAGCAGGCTTTGCACCCATTTCAGCACCACACATACAAGCACCTGTCACAACCCTCATGTTTATGTCTGAATGGCAACTGTTCTGGTTTTAATGCAGAAAAGGTTTATTAATCGTCCTACATGCTTGTATTTGATGTCTACTTCCACTTTGAAGACTACAAAGCTGTAAGAAGAGAAATGATGACCCGGTCTATTCCCAATAGAAAAGTGAATCAAAATGATAAAAATAAATGAGCAGAAAAACAGGTAAAAGGTGATAGAAAATGATACCTTAATAAACAAACAAAGAAAACAAAACAGGAATGTAAGAACTGCAAAAGTAAAGAACATTTGAAAAAAGGTCATTATCGAGTAACTTAAAATCTACTTAGATTTTAGAGAAATACAAACAAATTTTTTAAATGGCATCATAAGGATATTAGAAGTGAAATTGTATAATAAATGACAATACAGTGATTGACACAGGAATTTAAAGAACCCGAAGGCTTCAGTCACCAAAAGAACAGCATCCAACTATGCCTGGAGTCCCCTCTGAAGGCTGGGCAGCTGTTCTTCCAGGACCACAGACCACAAGGCTGGAAGAGCTACTAAAATACGAATCACAAGAAATCAAGCACTCATCACCATCTCTATTACAAAGAGAAGAACAAAGGACAGCAGAAGACACAGAATACTAGACTAAGTCTGAAAATAAAAATCTTTAAAACTTAGAAATTCAATGTGTTATGATTAAATAACTAGAAATACTGATTCTACCCATTTCCTCTCAGCCAGGTAAGTAAAAAAGGTGGAAAAGTGAAGTTCATTCCACTTACAATGAAGCTCAAAGTTCTAAGGTAAAACAGAAGCTGCCAGAAGTTCAGCTCACACAGAACAAAACAATGGCCATCACTTAGCACTCTCCTTCCAAGACTTGGAGACAAATATGTACATTAGCCAGCTGCAGAGGGGTCTGAAAGCCTGGACCAGTTTGCTCCATACAGTCTTGAGTCATAGGAGGCTTACTTCCTTCTCAATGGAATCCTCTGAAGACACTTTGGAAAGAAACTAATCTTACCCACAGGTGTCATGTTTCCGTCTACACAGACGACAGGTACAGACGACTCCCCGCAACTGATGCACATGACTAGTGTCACCCTAAGAACTCTAGATCCTCCGCCTGCCAGCAAGCCCAGCAGTTCAGAAGGAACACCATTCCACAAGGAGAAAGAGAGCTCCAACGTGGAAGGACAGGAGACAAGGGAACGAATGGCAGGAGACACAGGCACTAGGAAGGGCAGGGGCTGACTAAGGCCTATAAATAAAGACTGGGGAAGCATTCATCTCACATACTCCACAAAGGCGTTCAAGACCTGCCTGCACTCTAGAACATGAGACATGAGACAGAGGTCCTTGGGATAAGGAGCCAGTGTAGCCACTGGGAATCAAACAGCCAATGCCGCTGACACCAAAGTCAGTCAGACTCAAAGAGTCTAACATAGAAATACTTCTGGAAAAAGTAAAGACCATGATGCCTTATGAATAAAGACACAAAAGTCCTGAGCAAAGCAGTTCCAAACTACATAAGAAGCCTACTTCAGTCTACCTAAATGGGGTATATGCTACAGGTTTAGTTCAGTATCAGAAGTCATATTAACCAAAGAGGAGAAAAATCTAACAAGTCAGCTAAAAAGATATATAAAAGTATTTAAAAATGAATAAGTCAAATACAAACTAGAAGGAAATAGTTATAACACACATATCAGAAAATAATATTTAGCCAGAATAACTCATCCTACTCAACTATAAAAGGCAACACAACCCAGTTATTACAAATAATTTTCTTAAGGAGAAAAGAAGCAAGAGACTGAAGAAGCAGTCATCACACAAAACTGCACAAATGGTAGACATACACAAGGAAAGGGAGCTCACTGATGTGCGTGCAGTAAATGCAAACTGAAACCACAAGACACCACTACAAACCTTCCATAAAGGCTAGGAAGTAAGCAAGCTCACAAAGCTGGCACACCACTGTGGGCCGTCAGCAACCATTGGCAATGTGAAAACCAGCAAGTCATTTCGGAGATAGGTCCGGAACTTTTATAAAATGTAAATGTGCATCCTTCCTACAGAGAAGCGATTCAGCTAAGAGAAACAAAAGCCTATCCCCACCAAAAGATCACTCCAACAACCTACATGGAAGGTTTCTTGACAGTAGCCCGAACTGTAAACAGCCCAAATGCCTTCAACAGGTCAACAAAATGCAGTAAATGACTGATAAACTAAAAATACAGTGATCCTTTACAAATATCATGTTGAACACACAGCATTTTATCTCGCATAAACTCTAGACAGGGGAAATAACTGAGAAGGGAACAGGGCTCAAACTCAGGACACAGAGTTCTCTAGAGGCAGCAGAGATGAGACTGCCTGCTCCACAGGGGCAAGGGTGACACACTTGCAACATGCCTGTCATGTGTCTTCAAAGACTGATTTATTAGCTACATGCTTACTGAAAAATTACACTTCTTAGTAAATGCTTTTTAAAAGCTCACTAAAACAAGGGCTAGCAATAGCTCAGCAGTTAAGAGCGCTGGCTGCTCTTCCAGAGAACCTGGGTTATATTCCCAAGACTCACACCACGAACAGAATGTGATTGGCTGAACTCCCCTATCATCAGAGGATCCAATGCCCTCTTTGGCCTGCAGGGCACCAGGCACACACATGGTTTACAGACACAGATGCAAGAAAACACACATCAAATAAATAAATTAGAAAGAAAAGAAAAAAAACCTCAATTCTAGTCTAAATTAGCTCCTAGGGAGTCAAATATATTTATATTTGAATACAATAAAATGAACCAACAAATTCTGAGGCGCTTCTAACTTCCAGGATCACCTTTAGTGGAAGGAAAAAAAAAAAAAAAAGATGACAGGGAATGGGCACTCAGCTCTCCAAGACCCCCTCTGCTGGCTCTATTTAACAAGGATCTACACATATATCAAATATGGGGTGGGGGGAACTACAAGCTCTGCTGAGCAGAACAATGTCTAAGTGCGGAGAAAACAAAAACGGTGACTAAATATAAAGATGCCTCAGTTCTCCAGTCTGTAACTGACCTAGTTACTCAGTGTCCAATGAGGTCTGCCAATCCCTGCACATGCAACTAACTGCAGTATGAGAGCAGCAAAGAAGGCCCCGCCACCCCAGGGGAGAGAATCACAACTACTTAAAATGAACATGGAAGGGAATAAAACTGACAGCAGGCAAAATAAATAAATATACGAATGGATGAATGGATGGACAGAAAGAATGACAGACAGATAGAGGGATGGATGGATTAAAAAGCCAGGACAAAATACAAAAATAAAAATCAGCTTAGAGTGATGTTCTAGGATATAAATATAAAATGTGCCTGCCTGGTGTAAACAGCTAAAACAGATACTTCCACCCCTGCAGACCTCTGTGATTTCCCATGTACCCTCAAATTGTGTCCCTCTAGTTCAGGAGAGCTGAAGACTCTGAGCTCAAATTACTTAAAACTATAAAACTACTTATGTACCTCATTAAATATTTATGAAACATAATTAACAAAGCAATACCTTATGGTTTAACTAATTCTAGTCATCAAAAAAGATGTTTTACAAAATAAATACCAACTTTTACACTGATAAAAGAAAAAATGAGCAGTATTTTCTTACCACTTTCACAACACAGGGTGCATCACTGCCAACCGGTTTGGAAGAATTTGTGTCCGCTGTTTAAAGAGGAAGACAGTCACATCAGAACAAGCAGTGTTGCACAGACAGCAAATGACAGACACATAGGCCTACAGCCCTGCAGCCCTATGAAGGGGTGAATCCCAGTCCCCAAATGGCATTTCCGAGCATCATTACAACATTGCACCTAGTCAAAGACTTTTTCATGTGTAGAATGTATCTAGCCATTTTTGGTTTCTTCTATTTGATCAGCTGTTATACAAAGTTAAGGCTATTTCTTCTATACAGAAGTCCTCTGGTCGTTGGTATGCTGATGTACAGTGAATCCCTGGAGGATGCAGACTGGTAAAAGCCCAGGGTCTAACAAGCTATATAGCTCTTTAGGAAAGAACAGCCAGAAGCAGAGGTGCTGACCCCAGACACTGGTTACATAGAGCAATATTCGGAGCACTGTCATGCAGAACGGGAAGCCTTTCCAAACTCACCAACAAGTACCTATATTGTGACATTTTCTAAGAAATGGGAATTTCCAGCTGGGCGTTAGTGGCATATTCCTTTAGTCCCAGAACTCGGGCAGCAGAGGCAGGTGGATCTCTGTAAGTTTGAGGCCAGCCTGGTCTACACAGTGAGTTCTAGGACAGCCAGAGTTGTTACACACAGAGAAACCCTGTCTCAAAAAGAGGGGAGGGCGAGTTATTTGCAAGTGGACAGGGGCAAAAAACAGTTCTTCTGGCTGCTATTTGTGCAGTAAAACACAGACATCACATAAAATATAAAGCATGTTTGATGTGATAGGAGAAATGGAATTTTTAAACAGTGAAGGAGGTAGGCAGTGTTGCAGTGTGTCAAGAAGAGCCTGAGGTATCACTAAACCATGAATCAGTTTAAGCCACAGGAATTCACAGGAACAGCATTCTACATGGACTAGCACCAAAGGCCCCCATATGGGAGTGTTACAAGCATTTGTAAAGCCAGGAGACCAATGTACAGAGAAAGACCATGACACAAAAAGGGCAGAATACCCATTAGAAAAGCAGCAGGGATCAAACATGAAGGGCTTAAAAGACAATGTCAAGGTTAGGACTGCTGCTGTAACAGAGACAGGAAGCCTCCAAGGTTTTGCCAAAAGGACTAGCATAACCCAACTTTGATGGGGCTGCTTGGGAGAACTGTGTGCAGGCCAAGAACAGAAGTAGGCAGAGCAATAAAGAGATTTTGATAGTATAATGGGTGGGGCGGAGAGTGCTCTGACAACTACATGGGCCCACCAAGGTGGTGCTAGCAGACTGTGATCATAGGCTCAAAAGGCAGCTAACAGGGCCTCGATGGACTGGATGCAGAGGATGAGGCGCTTCTAGGGTTTGAGCACAAAACTGCATCAAAAGCTGCAAATGGAGAAATGCAGGAGAGTGCTTTGGGGTATCTTGTTTGGGACACCTGCTAATCCAAGTTCAGATGTTGCTGTGGTCTGAATCTAAAATGTCCCCAGACTTGTATTTTGAATACTTACGCTCATCTGATGGTACTCTTGAGAGGCAGCAAACCTTAAACAGGAAGTAGGTTACTGGCTGAGGACCTCTGATAGTTACAGCCCCCCTAGTTCAGACCAACACTCTGGTCTGCTGCACTGTGAATGGCTGTCCTCCACTATGCACTCCTGCCACTACCAGGTTCCCCTCATACGTATGAGCCGCAACTCTAGACTCCAGGTCTGTGAGCCAAAGCAAGTCCTCCACCTGAGGGTGTCTGACCATAACAACACAGAGCTGTTGATGCAGATCTAACTTAGTCGCCACTGCATATACAAGTCTCAAAGTCCTAAGTAATTAGCTGAGAAATGCTACCTATCAGGTTGAGGATCTAGTTCAGTAGAATAGCACATCCATCCCTGCAAAGGTGAGGTCTAGGTTCAGTCTCCAGCACAGTTTAAATGAAGAGACTATTTATTTAGAGCTTCACACTGGAAGAAATCTCCTCAGGAATGAACACAGAGAGAAAAGAAATGTTAGGACAGATCGCAAAGGCACCCCCACCTCGGAACAGAAGATAGGCAGACTCAGAAAACAGGCAATGGAAACCAAGGGGGAAAAAAAAGAAGAGTTGCAGCCAAAGCACTTCAGACACAGGACAAACACCAGCTTCTAAAAACACTCACTCAGTGAGAAAGAGCTCTGAGCTCCCTAAGAACAGCCCCAGGGAGCAGCACTTAGATGGTGAATTAGGAATAAGGCAGGTTCAGAATCTTTAACAAACATGAAGATGAAGATAGCATCCCAGTATTACTGCACACTCCAGTGAGAAGAGACACATGCTTCTCCACAACACATGCACACGCTATGCCAGACACAAAGAAGACAAGAGCTATGCCGTGTCAACAAGGAGGTCTACCCTGCAACTGAGAAAAGTATTCACGTGTGGGAGGCATCATGAAAGAGGATAAGGGGAATAAACATGAGCAAGCCCTGCCCAAAGCTCAGCTTTGCAAAAGGAAAGCAACAGCACTACGTAAAACCAAAATGGAGAGAGTCAACACTTCCGAGTCCAGACATTATACACAATTGCCGCCACTGACCTCACACCGGGCAGCTTCAGTGGAACAGTGCACACACAGCAATAAAGGCATCAATCTTGAAGCAAATCCTTCTCTACACAGAGAGCAAAGTCCTAACTCACAGATTGTTTATTAAGTATTAAAAATATTCGAATCCAAGAACACATCAGAACCATCATCTACCATGACCAAGTCGGCTTCATCCCACAGATGCAGGGATGGTTCAACATATGAAAATCTGTCAACGTAATCCACCATATAAACAAGCTGAAGAATAAAAACCACATGATCATCTCATTAGATGCCGAAAAAGCTTTTGACAAAATACAACATCCCTTCATGTTAAAGGTCTTGGACATGGCAGGGATACAAGAAATATACCTAAACATAATAAAGGCAATACACAGCAAACAGCAAACTAAAAGGAGAGAAACTCCCAGCGATTCCACTGAAATCAGGAACAAGACAAGGTTGTCCACTCTCTCCATATCTATTCAATATAGTGCTTGAGGTCCTAACTAGAGCAATAAGACACCAAAAGGAGATCAAGGGGAGACAAATAGGAAAAGAAGAAGTCAAACTCTCACTGTTTGCTGACAATATGATAGTTTACATAAGTGATCCCAAAAATTCTACCTAGGAATTTCTACAACTCATAAACACTTTCAAGCAATGTAGCAGGATACAAGATTAACTCAAAAAAAAAAATCAGTAGCTCTCCTGTGCACAGACGATAAAAGGGCTGTGGAAGAAATCAGAGAATCAACACTCTTCACAATAGCCACAAGTAGCATAAAATATCTCAGAGTAACTCTAACCAAACAAGTGGAAGACTTGTATGACAAGAACTTTAAATTTTTGAAGAAAGAAATTGAAGAAGACACCAGAAGGTGGAAAGATCTCCCAGGCTCCTGGGTAGGCAGAATTAACATAGTAAAAATGGCAATTTTACCAAAAGCAATCTACAGATTCAATGCAATGCCCAACAAAATCCCAGCAAAATTCTTCAAAGACCTCGAAAGAACGGTACTCAACTTCATATGGAAAAGCAAAAAACCCAGAATAGCCAAAACAATCCTGTACAATAAAAGAACTTCTGGGGGCATCACAATCCCTGACTTCAAACTCTACTACAGAGCTACAGTACTGAAAACAGCCTTGTACTGGCATAAGAACAGACAGGAGGACCAATGGAACCGAATAGAAGACCTGGATATCAATCCACACATCTTCAAACACCTGATTTTTGATCAAGAAGCAAAAAATATCAAATGGAAAAAAAGAAAGCATATTTAACAAGTGGTGCTGGCATAACTAGATATCAACATGTAGAAGAATGAAAATAGACCCATATCTATCACCATGCACAAAACTCAAGTCCAAATGCATCAAAGACCTCAACATAAAGCCAGCCACACTGAACCTTACAGAAGAGAAAGTGGGCACAGGGAACCACTTCCTAAATATAACCCCAGCAGCACAGACACTGAGAAAAATAATTAATAAATGAGACCTCCTGAAACTGAAAGCTTCTGTAAAACAAAGGACATGGTCAACAAGACAAAACGACACCCTACAGAATGGGAAAAGATCTTCACTAATCCCACATCAGACAGAGGTCTGATCTCTAAAATATACAAAGAACTCAAGAAATTGGACACCAAAAGAACACAGAGGAATCTAAAATGGCTGAAAGACACTTAAGGAAATGTTCAACATCCTTAGTCATCAGAGAACTGCAAATCAAAACAACTCTGAGATTCCATCTTACACCTGTAAGAATGGCCAAGATCAAAAACACTGATGACAACTTATGCTGGAGAGGCTGTGGGGAAAAGGGAACACTTCTGCATTGCTGGTGGGAGTGCAAGCTGGTACAGCCCCTTTGGACGTCAGTGTGGTGATTTCTCAGAAAATTGGGAAACAACCTCCCTCAAGACCCAGTAATACCATTTTGGGGTATATATCCAAAGGATGTTCAATCATGCCATAAGGATATGTGCTCAACTATATTCATAGCAGCTTTGTTTGTCATAGCCGGAACCTGGAAACAATCTAAACGTCCCTTGACCAAAGAATGGATAAGAAAAATGTGGTACATTTACACAATGGAGTACTACACAGCAGAAAAAAATGACATCTTGAATTTTGCAGGAAAATGGATAGAGTTAGAAAACATTATTTTGAGTGAGGTAACCCAGACACAGAAAGACAGTTATCACATGTACTCACTCATAAGTGGTTTTTAAACATAAAGCAAAGAAAGACAGCCTATAAACCATAATCCCAGAGAACTTAAACAACAATAAGGACACTAAGAGAGACTTACATAGATCAAATCTACGTGGGAAGTAGAAAGTAGAAAAAGACAAGATCTCCTGAGTAAATTGGGAACATGGGAACCTTGGGGGAGGATTGAAGTAGGGAGGGGAGAGGCAGGGAGGGGAGAGGCAGGGAGGGGAGAGGCAGGGAGGGGAGCAGAGAAAAATGTAGAGCTCAATAAATATCAATAAAAAAGTATTAAAAATACCAACAACTCGATGGCACATTCTAATGATAGAAATAAAACATCAAGCATACATACAAAGCAAGTTCCAAACTTGCAAAGGTCATAAGAGCAAGGACATTGAAATAGAAACAATACTATGCAATAATGAAGAGCACAGGGTAGCATGGTGGCTCAAGCACAGATTCTAGGGAGAGGAAATGAACAGTCTATTTAGCAACAAGTTTCTGTTAATGAATTCCAAAGTCCTGCAGTGACCACAGCACCTCCTCTAAATCAGAAACTTGAAATACATATTCGGCTGCTATGATTAATGTAATGGCATAAGGAGCAAGTGATCCCATAAAAGGCTGAAGCATACACAGCTGATGGTAAGTTCTAGAAAGTTTAGGAGGTGGGACACAGCTGGAGAAGACAGTGGGGGAATCTTGCCCTGGAGCCTTCTTCTACTTCCAGTGCATCAGAGGTGACTCTCCTTGTCACATGAGCCTACCATCATGACACTCCGCCCAAACACATGGAAACACATTGGAGTGGGGCCAAACAGCATGGACTGAACCCTCTAAAATCAGGAACTACAGTGGCAGTGTCTGCTGTCATACCCCAAGGGTTATTTTATTACAACAAAGTGATCATTTCATGAACACCTACGTTTTCGTGGTTTATGAGGACTTTCACCTTACATAAATATAGCCTACATCATTGGGACAGCTCCTGTTCTAAACAAACCAGAGAAGCAGCGTATGCTTTTTCAAAGGCAAATACGATCTCCATCAGGAGGCTTGTACACAAGATAGGGTGCCAAAGCGCTGTTTGTAAGCTGTTTCAGGAGCCCAAGGGCAGAGCAGAGCTCCCAGTTACGGAAGTAAAGTAGGGTCAGCCCAGTGAAAACAAATGCTCTTCTAGTGTGGCTCTCAAGCCTCAGTTTGCACCCAGCCACCTAAAGAGCTGTTCAAACAGCTCCGCAGGCCTTCCCCAGCCTCTGAACCACGGGTTGGTGGGGGACGAGAATGGCAATGCTAACAAGTTTCTAGACGATGTCAACCTTCACTGTAGTATTGACACTCCTAGTCAGATGTTGCTGGAAAGGGACAAAAATTAGGTTTTCATTTTACAGTAACTATTTGAAAGAAAACCACTTAAGTAGTTACATTTTATAGATCTTTACAGTTGTGGGTTTCAAAAAAAAAAAGCCTATACATTTCATTTTATGTAAACTGTTACAAACTGAAACTTCCATGGCTAGAGTGATGGCTCAATTGTTAGATGTCCTGGCTACTACTCCAGGGGACTGGAGCTCGAGTCCTACCATCCATGGTAGCTCACAACCATATGTAACTTTAACCCCTTCTTCTAGCCTGTGCCAGAAATAAATAATTTCTAAGAGCTCTGTAGAACTGGAGTTACAGACAGTTGTGAGCTGTCATGTAGGTGCTGGAAATTGAACCCGGGTCCTCTAGAAGAGCAGTCAGGGCTCTGAACCACTGAGCCATCCATCTCTTGTTGCAAAAGGAGTGGCAGGCTGTGTTCCCACCGCCCGGCTCACGGCTAGCTTTACCCGAAATAATTACACGAAAACTGTATTCTTTTAAACACTGCCTGGCCTATTATCTCCAGCCTCTTATTGGCTAACTCTCACATATTGATTCAACCCATTTCTAATAATCTGTATCTCACCATGAGGTTGTGGCTTACCGGGAAAGATTCAGCATGTCTGACCTGGCAGCTTCATGGTGGGCGGCTCTCTTGATCCTGCTTTCTTCCTCCCAGAATTCAGTTCTGTCTTCCCTGCCTACCTATGTTCTGACCTATCAGGCCAGGCAGTTTTCTTTATCAATTAATCAATGTAAGCAACAGATAGATAGAAGATTCTCCTACATCAATCTCTCCTGCCCCAGGTAAACCATTTTTAATGTTGATAATTCAGTAAACTCACAGAAGTTCAGGGTTCTAACCTGGTTTCCAACTATTCAAGATAAGCACGTTAACTAATAGAACTAACATAGGTCAAGCCTAATATGGAGGGAAAAGGATCTTTAGTCTCAAGATAACTTAGACTGTGTAGAAATCTTAAGACTCTTAGGATATTGTGTTTACCAGTAACAATATCATAGCATTTTAATTTTTTTCGATAACAAAATGAGCCATCTTCTATTTACATACCAAAGATGATCTTATGATCAAACCACACAATCTCAGCGAAGACAATCAACAGCACCTTGCAATAGCTTAAATGAGAAACTATTTCATAAGAAATATTTGAGTCTTTATACTGATGATTAGTAATCACCATACACTTACCAAGATATATGCAGCCAAAGCCACCCTGGCCAATAGGCAGTCCTAGTTTCCATTCTTTTTTAGACATGTCGGTTATGATCTCCCCAGCAGCAAACTGCTCTGCAAGGCGCCTCTTTGCAGGACCCTGTCTTCCAGCCTGAGCTGCTTTTGCACGTGGCATTTTCTCTGAAATAACAAAATAAAGCAATTTTGCTCACAATTATAACCTTAGAAGTGTTTAAAACATTCCCCTACAGAAGGCTTCTACTCAGCAAGGACTGCCCAAGACTAAAGAGAAGGATGTCTACTAATTCTTGTCTGTAACAGCTAGGATCCCATTTGATTGTCACTAAGTTTTAAATAGGAAACCATAAATATAATGCAATTATGGAAAGCACTGCAAGTTCCAGTGGCATATCATCCATAACTAAAATACTATTTAGTAACAACAAAACAAGAACTGTTTTATGCAACTGAGGGAAGACATGCAATTAGAATGCACAACACCTCATAATGCAGCTAAGAGATCCTAAGAAGTAGGGACGCGCTAAGTCCAAGCATGGACTACAATCCCAATTAGGTATGCCCAAGAAGGAAGGACAGGGCATTTGGGACACAGGAGTAGGTGCTGAGTAGGAACGCTGCACCAGCACCATTTACACAAGAACAGAGGCTCAGCAGAGAAGTGGTACACAGCACCAGCCAGCTCCACAAAGTCTCAACCATACAATGTGTCCCTTCTCCCTGGGCATCCTAAAAAAGCAACTCGCTCACTTTTCTCACCAGCACAAGTGTAACAGAATGTTCTGGGAAAAGTTTTACCGGGGAAGAGCATGGCTGGACCCCAAGGATGTAACTGGCTAGATGGGAAGTCCTGATCAAAGCATCTCTAAGCTTCAAATGCACTCAGGTATAACTCACTGTACCATATACAATTTTATGTACATAAAAGTTGCATGAGTTCAAGTTCTTCTTTCTATAAATACTAACTCAAAGGTTTCCCTAAAAACAGCAGAAGACAAAGCAGAGAGATGGGAGCGGCTGAAAAGCCTGGTCTGCAACACTTAGAATGCTAGTTCAAATGGGCTCTGTTAAGATGCGACATTCTGAACCCAGACATACTAAACACACTTTATTAAAAGATTTGTTTTCTTGAGACTGGAGTGATGGCTCAGTGGTTAAGAGCACTGCTGTTCTTCAGAGGTTCCAGGTTCAATTACCAGCATCTACATGGTGGCTCACAATCATCTGTAACTCTAGTCCCAGGGGATTCCATGTCCTCTTCTGGCTTTCTCAGAAACTAGGTATGCACATGGTGTAGACATATGGGCAAAATGCCCAGATACACAAAATAAAAATAAGCAATAAAAAAAAATAGTGATTTTCTTATTTTTTTAAATTATGTACATAGAATTCTGTGTGGGCGTCTGAGGAGGCCAGGAGAATGAGATAGAGGTTGTTAGGAGTCACCTGACATGGGTGCTAGAAACCAAACTCTGGTCCTTTGCACCAACAGTATTTGCTCTTAACTGCTAGACTGTCTCTCTAACCCTAGGCCCCACCCTCAACACACGCCCACACATAGAGTATTAGACTGAAATATTTCAGCAAATACCCTCCAATTATCACTACACATGCACAAATTCCATATATGCAAATAGAAATACTGTGATAGCTAATCCTGGTTGTCAACTTAACTACATCTGGAATCAAGTAAAACTGAATGAAGCAGCTGAACTGGGCACACTATGAAGGGCTTTTCTTGAGTGGATCATTTGAGTTGGGGAGACCTGCTCTAAATCAGAGCCATACCTTCTGGTGACAGCCCATGTAAAAGGACATGGAAGAAGGAAGGTTTTGTTTTTGTCTGCCTGCCATTAATATCACTGGCAAGTTCACTTACCCTGTTGCTAAGGCATTCCTTCGCTGGTATTAAAACCTACTTCTTTAGGATTCCAACTCAGACTAAAGACCAGCAGCTCTCTTAGGACTTCCCTGGAAATTCAGCACCAGTCTGGAAAGGACTGTTGAGACATCCAGTCTGTCTGTTTATTTGTTTGTTTGTTTGTTTGTTTTGTTGTTTTTGGTTTTGGTTTTTCAAGACAGAGTTTCTCTGTAGCTTTGGAGCCTATCCTGGAACTAGCTCTTGTAGACCAGGCTGGTCTCAACTCACAGAGATCTGCCTGCCTCTGCCTCCTGAGTGCTGTGATTAAAAGCGTGTGCCACCAACCGCCCGGCTTCAGCCAGTCTTTTCTTTTCCACCAGGAGACAGTCACTGCTGAACTACGAGGACCACAGCCTCCCCCTATATATTCATTGTACCAGTCCTGTTCCTTTAGAAAACCCTAGTGCAAATACTTTATTAACTGATGGAGAAATCTTTAAATCTAACTTTTCCCTAAAAATCACTGTGCATATTCCCAAATTTCAACCTTCTCTGAGGTGAAAATCATCTTCAAAGCAAAGGAACTTGGTGCCGGCACTAGTTCTCTCAGACTAGTTCTCTCAAGGTGCTTTTACTCTGTGCTGAAATCTTGCCCAGCAGAATCTTGGTAACAGCCATGGCAACCAGGACTCAAAACACTGAGAAGAGATTAACTTCTGTGCCTCGGTGGCAACTCCACAAGAAGAATGAACTCAAACACACAGCAATCTCCAGCACTAACATGATTTCTTCTCAACTTCATCCAGCTTTATCAAATCACAGCAATTTCCTATTTGATTATTTTCTTATAGTTGTCAAAACAGTTTTAAATGAGTTTAAAACTCTCTTTTCTGTAATTCAAGTGCCTGGACAAATGGTTCATTCTAGAATTCCTTTCCATGTGCAATAAAGATACCATACAATAAATTAAATCTGCCTCAGCATTATTTCATACAGATTTGTGATTTTTTAAAAAAAGTGATGTTTGTGTGTGTGTGTGTGTGTGTGTGTGTGTGTGTGTGTGTGTGTTTCTCCAAGTAAAACTATTGGCTCTTATTTTTAACTTTATTCTTAGGGCCAGCTATCTGGAGCCTACTGTAATAATTAAGACCCGGAATGTCACTCTTAAAACTAGTTCTAGGAAACTCTGAAACAACACTGAGCCTCCCTGAATTCCCTCCCCTTCACACCCCCAAACCATACACGAAAGCACTAGAGCGAACTCTAAACCCTAGCATACCATTCACAGCAAACCTGGGAAATGGTTCCTGTCTCCACAACACAATGTTAGCGGATACCGACAAGACTGGTACATACAACTCTTCAAACTTCAGAGCAGTGTATCCTACGCACACACCCAGCTCAAGAAGATGCTGCAGCTACAACCAAGTGAGCTTCACAAGGAAGACTAGGTTTGTGAGAACACAAGACTGAACAAAAGGGAGAACAGCAAGCAACGATTTGCAACTGGGAAGCCATGCCCACTCAAGAGACACCAGGAGCAAGGGAGAGGAGGGTATGGGATGGACACAACACATCCTTTCAGAAAAACATTTCCTTACCCCCTCCCCCCACCAAAAAAAAAAAAAAAACGAGCTATGGCTATTTCAAAGTGAACTAGAAGTGCGGTAGTTTTGTTAATCAAGAATACTGTGTATAAATGTGGGATGGCACACGGAGACCAGTAACCTCTCACTAATCCCTCCACAGATTATCATGTTATCCACGGTCAAACAAGGTCCAAAATTCTAAATACAATATTCCAGAAAGAAATAATTCATACAGTTTAATACCGAGTGTCATTCAAAGTACTGGATGTATCCAGAGCTATCACTCTGCCCAGACCTTTGTGTGGGCACCCTTTGTCTAGTGCATGCCCACTATGTTTGCTGCCCTTCCAGAGTTATAGGAGTCACCTCAGTTACCAAAGTGCTTGTGTTTAACTGACACAGTCAAGGGCTCTCCGCTACCTCACGATGCTTGGTCATTCACCTCATTAATCTCATTAAGGACACAACATTCCCATCTCACAAGAAGAGATAGACCTCTGAGACACGAAAACCACAAGCACCTCTCTTATCGGACACTCTGCTGACTGCTCTAATCTTGGTCACTACTATTAGTCTGACTCCGCTCACCTTATAAACTGAAGTAGGATCCATATTATATGCACTGGTCAGCAGTGTGTATAGGCTCCACTATCAGCCTTCGTTTCCAGGATCCACTGGGATCTTGGAATGACTCCCCTGGACTCAGAGGACTGCTATAATTAGGTGACATCTTTAACCTATTATTCCTTTGTTCCTTAAATTCACAAATGTGAAAAGGAGACAGAAATGAGAGGTACGGTTTAAAATGCTGTACTTGAACTAGACATAGGTGTATGACTAAAGCATAGTGTTAGAGTCAAAAGCAAAATCATCAAGAGTTAAGAGCCTGCCTAGACTACAAAGACAGATCCTGTCTAAAGAAACGTAACTGTACTTGAAATTACTTTTTATGAAAAGCATACACACACATACACAGGCCTTCATATTTAGCAACCCAACTCACAAAAAAAGTGTAGAAACAACCAACCCTGTAACTTAATACACGTATTCCTTAGCACATGAACTATATTCTTTTTTTACTGTTTGATATTTCTTTAAATTGTTTTTATTGAGTTACATATTTTTCTCCGCTCCTTTCCCTTGCTCTCCCCTCCCCTGAACTATATTCTTGAAATACTATTTCCATTAAAAAGAAACCAGCCTCAGGCTGAGAGCTCGGCCAGTGACAAACTTGCCACAAAAGCATGAAGCCCTACGTTTAACCCCCAGGATGCAGGTGAAAAGGCTGGTTGCTGTGGCCTGCACTGGTCAACCCAGCACAGAGGAGACAGACACAAGTGGACCCCTGGGGCTGACTAGCCAGCCAACCTAGCCTAATTCTAGTGAGAGACTCTGTTTCAAAGAAGAAGGTGCATGGCTCCTGAGGACCTCTGACCTCACACACGAGCCCACAGAGCCTCTTCCTGCCATCATTAATGTCCCTTTCCTGGCATGTACTTCAGGAGGCACAGCCACCTTTGGTGAGCACTATTGTGCCAGCTCTTTCTGAGAACTAGACCCTTTACTACACTTCCATCACAGCACTGGACATCCCTCTTCCTTTCTAGTTAAGAGTAACAGGAAGTCTTCTAACTTCCGAGAACAGGGAAACAGGGTATGTCAATCTACTGTTGCTTTGCACACAATTTCTGAAAAGCACAATTTCTTAAACC